CCCCCCCCACACCGCCGGGCATTCATGACGAAAAATAGTATGTGCCACTCGGCCCGTAGTGTCGGTTTGCGATTCGTGTGAGTTAGCAGCACTCGGCGCGGTAAGGCGGGACGAGGCTCGCCGACCTTACCGACGCCTCGTGCTGCTAACTTCACACTCATCGAAAACCTCCACTTACGGGCCTTGTGACACAAATAACTATTCATGAAAGTTGTTGCCTGAATTTTCAAAATTTTCAAGGCTTTTCAGGACCGAAAATCGAGAATGACTTGAATATTCAAGAAATTAAGTGATTCGTCAATGAAAAAATATACAGAAATTTCATGTAACTTTATCGTTAAAAATTTCAAGCTTTTTCACTTGAAATCGCACGAGTAATTTTCTAACGGTGTATGACCGAAATCCCTGATGATCAGAGTTATTCTACACTACTAGAAATTTTTAAATACTCATGGAAAATATGATAGGAATTCTCATGGGAGTGATATTGAATCCGAATTAAGGAAAAAATGGTTATGAAAATTGCGCGCTTTAAGTAGAATTCAAGGAAATTCACGAGTTTTCAGAAGGGTGAGACGGAAATTTCACAACCTGACTGTTTTTTCAATGGAACATGAAGATTCAGAAGTAAAATTAATTTTCAATTTTTCCCTAAATTTTCCTGATTTTTCCGAATTTTCACGGAATAGTTGAACTGGAAAATCAAACACTTTATTAATTTCAAATCATTCAAACAGAAAAATTCTTTCACAAAATTTTCTGAAATTGCAGTGAAATTTAAACATCATAAAAATTTCCGGAATTTGCAACGGAAAATTCAGAGGAAAATTTTCAACAGTGTAGTCAGTAGGTATCCAGTATCACCAATAATTGCTTTGATCGATTGACTGATTGATCGAAATTTATTCACTGCACTCTCTGTTGCACAAAATAAAGTAACGGCAAAGTCATACAGCAGAAAAATAATAGCAATTACCACGAAAAAAGTAAAACAATAGGAAAGTGAATAGTGAGTACACAGGGCTCTCAAAAGAAAAAAAAAACAAAAGGGAAAAATGAGGTCGGAGGAGAGAGAAAGTCATACTATCGGCAAAATAGTAAGACAACAAAATGCAGGGCAGCATCAAAGGATGTTTGTGAGGAATAGAGGGAAACACGACGTAGGGGTTATCCCTGAGGTATTCTAGGATGGCTATCACGAAGGATTCAAGAGAGGAGCTATTTCTGATCAGCAATTTATAATAGATTCCTAAAAATCAGTGACTCAAGTGTTTTCAAGTTTTCACAACAAAAGCGAATCTCTGAATTTCACACACCTTTTGTACTCATTTTTCAGACACTAAAGAACGTCTGAATAAGATAAAAAATTTGTCTGAATTTCGGACAAATAGGTGTCCAAACATCTCAATTCGTGTTTGAAATTTAGACAAATTTTGATTTTATTCAAACGCTATTTAGTGTCTGAAAAAAATTACAAAAGGTGTGGGAAATTCAGACATTCGTTTTTGCTATGTTGAACTTCAGAGCACTGTGCGACACATTTTTCTTGTACACATACAGTAGAGGCTTCGTATAAGATACCTCTCTATAAGATACCGCACGTTCCGAGCGCTCACGACCTACCGCCACTCTCGGCACTTTTATCGCCTCTCGAATGTTTATGTTCCGTGGGGTTCTTATAAGATATCTAAGGCCCAGGTCATTCTTTAACGCACGGAGAGAAAAATTAAATAAAAATTACCAGAAAAAAACGTAAAAATTACGTTGCGAAACGTAAACCGCGATCGAAGTAAAATTCAATAAAAAGTGTGAGTCGGAAGTGAAATTGTACGAATCGACACGTAAATTCTACGATTTGTTCCGTAAAAATTAACCAGCCGTTGGATGACTCAGCGCTGTGGGAACAAGTCATTCCGTAATTTTTCCTCAACGATTGAGAAATTTTATGGAACGGAACGTAGAAATAACTCACCATCTTCATAAAAATTGTTGAACGGTTAAGAATTTTTGATTTTGGAGGCATAATAAGTCGGCAAGTTTCTGTAAGATTTTACTTCTTCGGGAAAAATTACATGACAATTTCGTACTTTG